ATGTCGCGGGCCTCTCTGCATGAGCTGGTGGCAGAGTACGACGCGACCACCAAGCTGCTGTCGGAGATGCTGATCACGGAGCTGGCCCTGCGCGATGAGCTGGAGTACGACAAAGAGCTCAAGAACCAGTTCATCTCTCTGCTGCTCACCATACAGAAGAAACGACGCGACTGCCACAGCGACCGCAAGAAGAAGAAGGTCAAGGCTGGCCCCGCCCCGGGCGCCACTAGCCCCACCTCGGAGGGTTCCGGAAACGTGAGTGTGAGGGTGGATGAGACCTTCCTCTTTTTTTTTCGCACCGTTGAACAGCTGGCGTAGGATTAGATTGTCTGTATGTTTGATCGTTAGAACAGCCGGTGTAGGCTTAGATTGTCTGTATGTTTGATCGTTGGAACAGCCGGTGTAGGCTTAGATTGTCTGTATGTTTGATCGTTAGAACAGCCGGTGTAGGCTTAGATTGTCTGTATGTTTGATCGTTGGAACAGCGGGCGCAGTGCTGAGGTAGATTTTCTGTACTGTCAAGCCTTGTTATACCGTCAGCCTTGTTTATTACCAGATGTACGCAGCACAGCACACATAGCAGCTAGCACAGATAGCACACAGCACACATAGCACATAACGCACAGCACAGATAGCACATAGCACACAACACAGATGGCACATAGCGCAGATAGCACACAGCACAGATAGCACACAGCACAGATAACACACAGCACAGATAGCACATAACACACAGCACACATAGCACAGAGCACAGATAGCACACAGCACACATAGCACACACACACACACACACTCCTGGCAGGACACATAGCACACACCATACACACACACACCTCGCAGCACACAACATTTCATAGCACACACCACACACACACACTTCATAGCACACACCACACACACACACTTCATACACACACCACACACACACACTTCATACATACACCACACACACACACACATTTCACAGCACACATAGCACACGACACGTGTGCTGGTTTTGCTCATTCAGAAATGTCCTGTGCACTGTTGTTGTCTCAACTGGTTTCGTGCCTTGCTCTCTTTGTAGGGAAAATGTTTCTCTTAACTTTCTATATTTGTGTTGTGTTTCTGAACAAGACGTGACCTAATTTTCTATATTTGTGCTGTGTTCCTGCACAAGACGTGACCTAATTTTCTATATTTGTGCTGTGTTCCTGCACAAGACGTGACCTAATTTTCTATATTTGTGCTGTGTTCCTGCACAA